CCTTTTTGCATGTGATCAGCTGTGTCCAAACACAGTTGATCACATTGTAAACAGACTTGCAGGTTATCGGCAGTCCTTTTTTCACACGCTGTCACCGCATGAGAAGAGGAGAGCCAGTAACCAACAATTCACACAGGGGAAATTTGCACTGATAATCAGGGCACTGATCATCAGTGCCCTGATGATCAGTGCAGCTCCATCAGAGCCACCTCATCGGTGCCCATCATTGCCACCTGCTCAGTGCTGCCTATCAGTGCAGAAACTAAGAATAACTTTATTTTTTTTTTAATTTTTGGTCTTTTTTCATTTGTTAAGCAAAAAATAAAAACCCCAGTGGTGACTAAATACCACCAAAATAAAGCTTGCTCTGTCTCAAAAAATGATAAAAATGTCATATGCTTACAGTGTTGCATGACCGCGCAATTGTCATTTAAAGTATAACGGTGCTGAAAATTGGCCTGGGCAGGAAGGGGGTGAAAGTGCCCTGTATTGAAGTGGTTAAATAACAAATATGTCCCCGATAATCCCTGTTTGATGTAAAAACTGGCAAATAAAGAATTAAAAAAGTAATAATAATAACTAGAAAAGCTACAATTTCTGGGGAAATTGTGTGAAGTGTTCTTGCCTCCACCAGTAGTCTACAACTGGAGTGGGCGGAGTAACTGGGTGGAGTGGCTGGAGTAACTGTTATGTGGCTGGGAGTAACTGTGAAAAGGTTGGAGTGGGCAGAGTAACTTTATGGAGTGGGCAGAGTAACTGTGTGGATTGTTTGGAGTGAGTAAAGATAGTAAATATTACACTAACCAATTGATTGATCAAATTTAAAAAGTGCACATGGCAAGCTTGATAGAGTGAGAAATGCATTTCAACTTTTAATTATTTATATAGCACATGTCTCTGAAATATTAAAAATGAAGGCACAGTCACAGTTTAGAAATTGCCCTTCAAATTTGAGGTGGCTAGAGTGCAGTTTCAATGAATGTCAATGGGCGGCGTGAGTTGCAAACAAATGGTCATATTGTGAAAACTATCAGGACTATGGCTTAGCCATGGACATTTTTAGTGGCAGCAGGGATAGCTGGACGTTTTGATATAAGGTTTGTGTAGGTGGGCTTGAAAATGAGGGAGTGATGGAGGTTTAGAAATCATGTCCTGATTTTTCAGCTCACACTCTAGCTTTTGTCAGCTCCCACTCTAGTTTGGAACATTCCGCCATTCATTCCTATGGGACCAATTTCACCACAAAAACACCGATATTTCCTGAATCATTCGGCGAAACGTTCCACAAAGTAATAGCACACCAATCGAGAACAATCCGCACGTTTCGGTATATTACTGTCTATGTAGTGTAAAAACTGTGGGAGGAGTTAGGGTGGTAAATTTGGCTATAATAATAAGAATATATATGTGAGATAACAGTAAGTGGTCGCCATGGAAGAACACTTAAATATGTCATACTTACCTGCTCTGTGCAGTGTCATACTAACCTTCTCTGGTCCTCCGCTGACACAGACCAATAGCAGCTTTCAAATACACCCACTGTTATGTGCTGTCCATCAACAGCCAGATGGACCTGATGGGGAACTATTATGGGAATTCCCACCATGCATGTTCCTGGAATAGGCTGAAAGCGAAGGAGATGCTGCAACTACAACCAGCTAACATTACAGACCAATGTATATATTTGCCCGCACACCATGGATGCTCAAGTCATGTGCAAAAGTTTTGATTCAAAGAGATCATATCACAAGGAAAAAGTGCAAACTTTCAGGGCTGTGCAGGCTCCCTTATGCCTCATGTACACTGGAGCTGATAAACTCACGTTTCGGAGCTGTTCAGCGTTTTTTCAGCAGCCCCTGAACTCACCCTAATGTTTTCCTATGTGTCCATGTACACCTTTGTTTACAGTCGTTTACAGGCAGTTGAGTTTACAGTCGTATTTTTGAATGCAGAAAACTTGCATTCAGCGGTAGATTTTATCAGCGTTTCAAACCCCAAACGCTTGTAAACGCGGCTAACTGCGTTTATAGGCATTTGCGGTTGAAAATTTTTTTTTTAACTCTTCCATTTCATCGTGATATATGCATGCAAAGCGGTTTCCCAGTACTCAAATGGACCTAACACACCATACTTTGAGGTTTTGCATGAAAACAAATGTTAGACACTGCTGCAATATTTCGCACAGAAATGAGCTGGAACACATCCAAACACCACAAAAAAAAAAAAGACAGCTAATCTCAACAAATACTTCTCTTTCTGCTTCTGCTCTCTCTATTTCTCTCAAAATGTCTGAAATAGTTAATTTTTTTACTGTTTTGCAGTGCATTCTAGGCATTTGGGAAGGTCTCCTGAGGCTATCTTAAAAAGCGCAAAAACGCAGTATGCAAACGCGGCTAAACAGATGTTTTTTTTAACCTACGTTTTTCAGCAGTTTCCATCGTTCAGAAATGTCCCGTGTACATGGGGCCTTTCAAGGCATGGCAGGGTCATGTGCAGCCCCGAAATGTTGCACCTTTCCATTGTGATATGATCATTTTAAATAAAAGATTTTGGACATTAATGGAGGATCCATGTTGTTCTGGCAGATATGTAAATTGATCAGATTGGGAACTAGTCTTCCACTTTCCCATCAGGCTCCGCCTACCCGTTGACAAGTAATTTCCCAATATAGGCATTGCCATATTTGGTTAGTTACGTCAGCAATATCTGTGGCCCCTTTGTCTACATTCAGCCCCTGCTGAGTAGGATAAGGGATGGAGCACTGTGCAGGGAGCTGTCCTGTCTGCACAGACACACTCCACTGAATACTGGCATTCCTCTGAACATGACCTCAGAGCTGGTCTTAGGCTAGGTTCACATACATCCATACAGTGCCACTTGGTATGCACGGTTCTACACATATTTTGCGCATTCCCGAAATGATTTGTCCAACGCACAGGAAACATAAGGACAGAATTCCTGGACCCTTTTGTAAAATTGCACTGCACAAGTTTGGCGCATGCAACAACATGTGCCTTTGCCGAAGCTAAAGAGCAGCACATTTCTGTGCTTGTCAGGGAACCCTGCGATTTTGCACTCATTCCCGGCATGCGTAGATGGGAACCAAACCTTAAAGCTGTATTGAACCCAAAACCAAATATGCATTATATTGCAGCTTCACAATCATTAAATGTGGTGACTGCATTCATTTTGCTTTCTTTGGCTTTATTCCCTCTGTTTTCACCTGGTGATCTGTCCAGTTTCACACCTGTATTAGAGTGCCCTTGCGAAAGGGTAGTGTTAAATGTATTAGCAGATTTAAATACAGTAACAAATTGAAGCCAAACTCCATATAATACTTTATAATCAGTTACAGCAAACAGTTTTTTTCCCTTTTAGGCTAAAGGTTTTACATAAATATATAAAAGCTGATCTTTGTAAGCACCCCTGTCAGTGTTAAATGGATCAATGGCCAAAATGTATTCTACTACATGTCTTTGCTTAAAAAAAATCCCAATAAGTGTATATTAATTGGTTTACGTTGAAGTTATAACGTCTACAAATGGTGGTGTATATATACTGGAATTTTTATTCTCTTTTTTTTTTTATACTAGTAATGGCGATGATGAGCGACTTATAGCGGGACACTGGGTGTGAACTGACGACCTACCACTGACATTTCCAGTGACACTAATACAGTGATCAGTGCTAATAATAAGCACTGACACTGTACTAATGACACTGGGCAGGAAGGGGGTAACATCTGGGGCGATCAAAGGGTTAACTGTGTGCTGTGTGTGTGTTTTACTTGGGAGACATGCTGCTTTGCATCTCTGCTGTGCAGAGATACCAAGCAGCACGTCCATGCTGACAGGAGAGAGATCTGTGTTGTTTACACACAGATCTCTCCCCTCTCAGTCCTGCCGACGATCCTGGGTGATTGACATATCCAGCAGCTAATAGCAGCACGGGTAGGGCCCCTACCCGGAAATGCAAAATCGCATATTTTTACTTGAATTTGCATAGCGGAGCCGCCCTGTAGCAGTATATCTGCTATGGGGTGGCTCTTAACTGGTTAACACTGCATGCCGCACAATCCTTCAGGTGAATTTTAATTGCAAAAACAATGGAAGAAAGGGCGCACCAGCCTAGTGCATTACCTGAGTATAAAACTTGAATAGAAACACCAAAATATACTTACAAACAATTATGTATCAAAAGCATCATAATCTCAAAGCCATCAGGTCAACTCCAAAACCCCGAGAAGATCCTCAGATGGCTGATGCATTTGGAGGGAAAGTTCCCTCTTCCTCAGAGCCAATCAAGGTGGATTTTAATGCCTGGGCGGCGACATGGCTTCTGTATCATTCGACTACTGTGATTGGCTATCACAGCAGTCACATGATCAGAAGACCCTCCTGTTTGCTCTCAATCAGAAGCCTTGACTAAGAGCTATTGGTGACATTGTAGTGACTGTGCTGGGAGCACAAAGTGGTGCTCTGCAACCTTCTACTAACATGGCTGCATATGTGCTGTAATGGTCCGCACCTTTCTTGCTGCTGCATATATGTCTTTACGTGGTTGGCAAGAAGTTAAGAGATCCTCCGTGTGGATTTCATTTTGTTGTTCTGGGTCCTTTCAAGTCTTCATTCCTCACAAGATCTGTTTTGTAGTCCTGATTATGTCTTGTTGCTCCTGAAACCCAATGGTTGTATTTCATATGATCAAATCGTGAACAGTTCAAATTTTCTGGAATTCTATAACGTTATGGTTTGGCATTTCTTTTTGTGTTTTTACATTTTGAATCACTTTCTGGTACTCATTGAGAGAAGTCTGTTTGCCTTGGGAGCCACCTTACCAAACCCAGTGAGCTTTTACTGGAGAACTTCCTGGGTTTGGTTATTTGAACAAGCTGTGAAATCCCAGCACCTCTTAGATATTTTTTCTTGTTTTTTGTCGTATGTTTTCACCTGTATCTGACTTTTTTTTTTTTTTTTTTTTTCTTCTTCTTTAAATAAAAGATGGCGGAAAAGAAGTTTTTGATGTCCCAATTGACAAATCATTTAAGGGAAGATCGCATTCAGCTTTGGAAATCTCCTTACACCAATGAAAATCAAGAGGCTGGTCCAGAGATAAAAGTATGAACACAGAGTTATTTTTTATCTTCTTTCTGCAGTATAATCTAATGCCGGCACCCCTTATTTTTATGTTATGTGAAAGCAGAGGTGCTCAGCCTTTTGCAGAGTCTGGGCCACTTACAGTTGCAAGAAAAAGTATGTGAACCCCTTGGGATTACGTGGAGTTTTGCATGAATTGGGCATAAAATGTGCTCTGAACGTCATCTAAGTTACAACAATAGAAGAACACAGTCTGCTGAACATAATACTACACAAACATTGTATGTTGCCATGGTTTAATTGCACATAACATGTAAACATTCTACAGTGCAGGGAGGAAAAAGTATGTGAACCTTTGGACTTAATAACTGGTTGACCCTCCTTTGGCAGCAATAACCTCAACCAAACATTTCCTGTAGTTGCAGATCAGACTTGCACAACGATCTGGAGTAATTTTGGACCACTCCTCTTCACAAAACTGTTTCAATGTAGCAATATTCTTGGGATGTCTGGTGTGAATCGCTCTCTTAAGGTCATGCCACAGCATTTCAATCGAGTTGAGGTTAGGACTCTTACTGGGCCACTCCAGAAGGTGTATTCTGTGCTGTTGCAGCCATTGTTTTGTTGAATTACTTGTATGCTTTGGGTCATTGTCCTGTTGCATCACCCATCCTCTGCGGAGCTTCAGTTGGTGGACAGATGGTCGTACGTTTTCCTGCAAAATGTCTTGATAAACTCTGGAATTCATTTTCCCATCAATGACAACAATCCGTCCAGGCCCTGAGGCAGCAAAGCAGCCCCAAACCATGATGCTCCCTCTGCCATGTTTTACAGTGGGGATGAGGTTTTGATGTTGGTGTGCTGTGCCTTTTTTTCTCCACACATAGTGTTGTGTGTTCTTCCCAAACAACTCAATCTTGGTTTCATCTGTCCACAGTATATTTTGCCAGTAGTGCTGTGGAACATCCAGGTGCTCTTTTGCAAACTTCAAACGTGCTGCAATATTCTTTTTGGACAGCAATGGCTTCCTCCGTGGTGTCCTCCCATGTACTCCATTCTTGTTTAATGTTTTCCTTATTGTAGATGTGTCAACAAAAATGTTAGCATGTGCCAGAGATTTCTGTAGGTCTTTAGCTGACACTCTGGGATTCTTCGTTACCTCATGCAGCATTCTGCGCTGTGCTCTTGCAGTCATTTTTACAGGACGACCACGCCTAGGGAGAGTAGCAACAGTGCTAAACTTTCTCCATTTGTAGACAGTCTGTCTTACCATGGACACATGAACATCAAGGCTTTTGGAGATACTTTTGTAACCCTTTCCAGCTTCATGCAAGTCAACAATTCTTGATCGTAGGTCTTCTAAGAGCTCTTTTCTGCGAGGCATGGTTCACATCAGACAGTGCTTCCTGAAACCAGTAAACCCAAAACAGGTGTGTGTTTTTAAGGGCAAGACAGCTGTCAGCAACACATCCAATATCATCACACTGATTGGAGTCAAGGTTGGCTCACTCCTGGCTCCAATTGGCTCTGGGAGAAGTCATTAAGCAAGGGCCTCACATACCTTTTCCTCCCTGCACTGTGAATGTTTACATGTTATGTGCAATGAAACCATGGCAACATCTAATGTTTGTGTAGTATTATGTTCAGCAGACTGTGTTCTTCTATTGTTGTGACTTAGATGACGTTCAGAGCACATTTTATGCCCAATTCATTCAAAACTCCACGTAATCCCAAGGGGTTCACATACTTTTTCTTGCAACTGTAAGTGATTTGGTAAACCGGTCGCAGGCCGGATGTTGGTCTAACCATTTTACTGAGAGGAGGAAATGATAACCCTATTTACTGACCAGAATATATTGAAGCATTAAGCTGTGATGGTGGAAAACATTAATAGAAAATATTTAAATGTTATAAGGATAAACTAATTTGTCAGACAAATGTACCCTCTTACCTGTTAAGGCCTGAGAGGAGGACAGAAACTATCATCGACTATATCCCCACAATCACCCAACTGTAAGAGGTACAAGATGGAGCCCACAAGCAAATTAAACTGGAGCCTTTCCTCTGCAATACCCCCTACTGGCAGAAAAGCATATTTCTCTTGTTTGAGAGCTGCTTCGAGTACAGTGTTACTTGGATTGTATTCCAGTCTTCAGCTGAGAGAACTTACAAAATGTTAAGACTTTACACAAAGTCTCAGAAATCTTTCATTAAGGTCTTCATGGTACATGAATACCATGTCATAGATATATTATTTATCATTGTAAAAGAACATATTCTACATTGCTTTTTTTTTTATATATATTTCCAAACCACCCCAGCCAAATAAAAAACAGAAAACAACAACCATTTTTTCTGTTTGTTTTTTTCCAGGCCTTCCCATCTCTAGTTCTCTCTATATTTAGATCTAAGTTCTTTATATACTATGTATGTAGAAACCAGTACATTCCGATTTTGTTTTTTCTTCATCACCGTTCATATCTGCAGCTCTGTCCAATTAAATTGTGTTCCCTTCTAGGAACTGTCTCTGAAATATGCAGAAAAGCTGAAGCACAGTGTGGATGACATAGCCAGTGCATTGGAAGAAATTCGCTGCTCTGCAATACAACGTGGAAGTGGAAATCAGGCTTTTAAAGCTAAAGGATTGGCTTCACTGCAGGTCTTCCTGCCACGCAAGCTTAACAAAGTAAGAAACTCTGTCATTGTGGATCTGGCATTACTAATAAAGATGTATGCATGACAAAGTTCTGGTAAGCATTACATTTGAAACTAACCCCACTACCGAGCAATCCAGGTGAAGACTAGATGGTGGCCAGGCATGACTCAGAGGAATCCACACTGCTCATTGATGATACTCAGGGCCCAATCTATAGCATGCCAGTATAAAGAGAGTCTATAAGTGTAGGTGTAAAATATTATTTATGTACAGCATATTCTGCATTACAATTCTAAACTTTGTAAAATTACACCATTTCAATGACTGTTCTGTCTAGATCTACAGCCACTGAGTTCTTCTGGAGATCCTCTTCTGTTGACATTATTAGCACCATCAACAAACCTGGACAGACGGGATCTGCAGATCATTCACATGGAAAGCCAGCACACTGCATGGTTGATTCTCAAAATTCCAATTATTTAGGTTCCATTTAAAAGAGCCTAATTGTAAAGTACAAACAAACAAATAGTTATATCCACTGAATTTTCAGGGTCTCCCTGTACCCATTTATCCAGGTGACAGATATGCTCAAGGCAACAGTGCACTATCTGGTACATTTTTGCACTTTTTGTTTGCACTTTACAGTTCTGCAGTTTACAATGGATCCTCAGTGAATAGCATTTTTGAGGTTCACTCTTGTGGAGTGATGGCTTTCCATGCAAATGAGCTATAACATGGCTTGTTAGTTGACTGTGCAACCCCTAAGGGGCAAGAATGGAATGGTGCTGGGTGGATTGGACTGACTGAGATCTGTGGTAGAACTGAGGTTTGGAAGTTACCAGAGGATTTGCATATGTATATATTACAGTATACAGTAAAGTATGTTTTACCTTTTTGAGGATTGTAAAGTGGACCTGTTTTCCATTTTATATTTTTGACAGTAAGAGTTCTACCTTAGGGCAAACGGCACAGAATGCCTACTTTTACTTAGCTAGAAATGCTCTTTCTGTGCGCCTCACTGTTTGTTTCACTTTGCTGGCTAAGCTCCACTAACTGGAGCTGGAAATTAAGAGTACTCTTATTGACCACTAAAGCAGTCTTCGCCCTGGTTTACACCAGTGCGACTTGTCATGTGAATTGAGAGTTCAAAGTCACATGACAAGTCGCACTCTATTAGCGGCAGTGGAGCAAAATCGGTACGACTCAAGTCATAGCTATTTTGAAAAGAGGTCCTGTGCTATTTTTGTGCAACTTCCTTGCAACTTGCATTGACATCTGATAAATTAAGTCGCACAGGGTATCAGCAAGCCACAATGAAGTCGCACTGAATAGTCAGCTTTGAAGGTGCACAGAGTAGCGTGATTTCAAAGCCGCATTGGTGTGAACATTGCAGTGTTAGCTGTTGAAGTTGAGCCATAAAGTCAAGGAAATTCATACCCCAGTAACAGAGTAAATTAAATCAGAAAGGGGCACAGATGAAGTACCTACCAGGAAGAAGAGATGAAACATCATGGGACTGTTAAAGGAGCAGTTGTAAAGGTAGGTGTGCCTCTCTGAAAGCTACTGTGTGTACAGGTATATGAAGGCACTTCTGGGTGTGTTTTCTAGGTGTGAATGATGTGCATAAATTGTTTTCTGTAAGAAAATGAAAATGTTCACATAAAATTGATTAAGGGCTTAATCTTTGTATCATTTTTTTAAGGGATCCAGGAACTACATTGAAACCTGTCTGTCTGTAACAGGGAAGGAACTGAAGTGTCAGTAAGTAGAGTTTCTAGACCTTCCCTGTTTTTTTTTGCCTTTGCAGCAAGCTAATGGGAGAGGCAGAGAAGGGAAGCTGGCAGCAGTTTATAGTTGCAGGGGATCGGGTTTGCTGGTGGGGTGGGATCAGTGCTGGGGGGGGTGACAGAGTTGGGGGGGGGCAATTTAATAATAAATAAGACAGCAGGAGGCGGACAGGTTGGAGACAGGGACGTAAAGGAAGTGGCAACGGGCGGGGTTGATTTAATTTGAGGTATATAGCTCTGATCAGCGGCCTGTTACTCGCTATTCAGAGCTATCTGCTTGTTCAGCAGAGTCTGCTGAACAGTTCTGCTATAGTTTCATGGTCACTGAAGTGACCATGAGCGTATAGCAGAAGAGGAATTGAGGTCCGTACGGCGCATGGGCCTGGCCTGCTGGAGGCAGTGCTGTAGGTCTGTACGCTGTACAGACCTGGCAGTGAAAGGGTTAAATTAACTCAATGCTTCATAGCACCTTAGTACTTGTTTTATTTTCATTAAAGTGTAATGGAGCTCCTTCTGTGTATCACTAATTGGCCTATACTCAATGCATATTGTACCAAATAAATCCCAAGATATTATTTGATACCTGCGTGCTGAAAATGATATGCACTTTTTAAATATAAAAATTGTACATCAAACCTACATTTTTGTGTCCAACCCTCCTCAAAATTACATCCTGTGAACATGCGCAAAATAAACGATATAGTCCAGAATCTTTGCAAGTCCGTGCTATGATCATGCAGGTTTCAAATACCACTGATGTGCTTCCCACCTTCCGTATGCTTTCACCGCCACTTTTGACCCATATTTCAAAATAGGTCAATATGCGCCTTCCCTTTTAAGGGTTACAGTCCATTTCCAGATATGAATTGGAACCGCACTTGTTGTTATAAGATCCTTCTCAGAGATATGGTTTTTATATGGGTGCCACTGACTCCCTTTGCCTCTTAATGGCTCAAAAATATATTTCTGCTGAAAATAACTACCGTATTTTTCGCTCCATAAGACGCACCTGACCATAAGACGCACCTAGGTTTTAGAGGCAGAAAACAGGGAAAAAAAATTCTGAACTAATGGACTGCAGATAAAGTACAGGAGATGACTAGAGACTGTGGACAGCACAGGGATGACCAGAGACTGCGGACAGTACAGGGATGACCAGAGCCTGCGGACAGCACAGGGATGACCAGAGCCTGCGGACAGCACAGGGATGACCAGAGCCTGCGGACAGCACAGGGATGACCAGAGCCTGCGGACAGCACTGGGATGACCAGAGCCTGCGGACAGCACAGGGATGACCAGAGCCTGCGGACAGCACTGGGATGACCAGAGCCTGCGGACAGCACTGGGATGACCAGAGCCTGCGGACAGCACTGGGATGACCAGAGCCTGCGGACAGCACTGGGATGACCAGAGCCTGCGGACAGCACTGGGATGACCAGAGCCTGCGGACAGCACTGGGATGACCAGAGCCTGCGGACAGCACTGGGATGACCAGAGCCTGCGGACAGCACTGGGATGACCAGAGCCTGCGGACAGCACTGGGATGACCAGAGCCTGCGGACAGCACTGGGATGACCAGAGCCTGCGGACAGCACTGGGATGACCAGAGCCTGCGGACAGCACTGGGATGACCAGAGCCTGCGGACAGCACTGGGATGACCAGAGCCTGCGGACAGCACTGGGATGACCAGAGCCTGCGGACAGCACTGGGATGACCAGAGCCTGCGGACAGCACTGGGATGACCAGAGACTGCGGACAGCACAGGGTTGACCAGAGACTGCGGACAGCACAGGGATGACCAGAGACTGCGGACAGCACAGGGATGACCAGAGACTGCGGACAGCACAGGGATGACCAGAGCCTGCGGACAGCACTGGGATGACCAGAGCCTGCGGACAGCACTGGGATGACCAGAGCCTGCGGACAGCACTGGGATGACCAGAGCCTGCGGACAGCACTGGGATGACCAGAGACTGCGGACAGCACTGGGATGACCAGAGACTGCGGACAGCACTGGGATGACCAGAGACTGCGGACAGCACTGGGATGACCAGAGACTGCGGACAGCACAGGGATGACCAGAGACTGCGGACAGCACAGGGATGACCAGAGACTGCGGACAGCACAGGGATGACCAGAGACTGCGGACAGCACAGGGATGACCAGAGACTGCGGACAGCACAGGGATGACCAGAGACTGCGGACAGCACAGGGATGACCAGAGACTGCGGACAGCACAGGGATGACCAGAGACTGCGGACAGTACAGGAGATGACTGCTGACCTTTGGGGGGGGGGGGGGGAGCGGGTACCTGAATTTGACAGGTACCGCCCGCTCCTACTTCCGCTGAGTTGTTCTTTGATCTTACCTGTTCCTCTATCCAGCCACGCGCTGTCTTCCCGGCTTCTGTAGTGTCAGCGCTCGGCATGACAGCCGGGTGCCCAGTGCGCATGGGCGAGAAGCACTTGCGCTTTGTGATTGGTCCGGCGGCTTCTGGGATCTGTCATGTGTCCCAGGTACCGCCTTACCATTCACAAAAAGCACCGCTTCTTGCGCATGCGCACTTGGCACCCGGCTGTCAGGCCCAGCGTCCACACTACAGAAGCCGGGAAGACAGCGCGCCGCTGGATAGAGGAACAGGTAAGATCAAAGAACAACGTAAGTAAGAGCGGGTACCTGTCAAATTCAGGTACCCGCTCCCCCCCCCCCCCCCCTCCCCAAAGGTCAGCAGTCATCTCCATAAGGTCCCGCTGCAGGGCTGAGCAGCCGGCCCGGTATTCTGACACCGCACCGGCCGCTCCATATTTGCTCCATAAGACGCACTGACATTTCCCCCCCTTTTTTTGGGGGAAAAAAGTGCGTCTTATGGAGCGAAAAATACGGTAATTCTCATGGCTCTATTATTCGCACTTCCTCATGGCTCTTTAAAAGTGGTTTTGCTTGCATGGTGTAGGACACACAGGCTTCAGCTGAGCCTTCTAAGCAGACATGGAAGCCTATACTCTCTATGGAAGACTGTACTGACCTCCAGCCTGGATAGCAGTTAAGCAGCTTAGGATATCACTTCTACCTGCCGATTTATGTTATACATTGTAAAGACTACTGTTCTCTGTGCGATACCACTGATTATGCTGGTTAAAAATCCCATGGACAGACTTTAGTAGACTGAAATGGTTTCCCATATGCATATGTAGAACTGTCAGCATAGAGTGAATGCGTGCTCAGGTTACTCTATGTATTTCTACAGAAATGTTATAGTTAACAAGATGAAAACATATGTACAGACTTCATGGGATTAACAAAATCATTTTGACTCTTCCCATTCAAGGAGCAATCCAGGGTACATTTACACACAGATAATAATTGTATATGTGTGTTTATAATTTTTGTCTTGTGTATATCGTTTTGCCTAAAAATAACAAATATGAGCTGAAAAAAACTATGTATATTCGGCTACAGATGCTGCTTCTTATAATACAGACTTGGCATCAAATCTTTAATTAGATGCAAGAACTGTATCGTTGTGCATCTGAGCAGTGGTAAAGAAAACCATCTGACTTAAAGCCTTTCTAGTTCTATTAGCTAGAGAAACCTTTCATTTGAAAAATTATATAAGATTTAAAAAAAGTAGTCTTTATTAATTACTGGTTTAATCTTTGTGTTTTTTCACCTGTCACAGAATAGCACAAACATATGGATTACAAGAGAGTTGCATAAAAATTATTTCTAACAAGAAACAGCTTGAAACTGGTAGGTGTAACTCTTCCTATTCTGTACTTACATGCATCGATGTTAAATATTTAAACATTTTTTGCTGTTCATTTACAGATCTTTTCATTTTTCCTAAAGAAAAATACTTGTGTAATGTACTTTACCCACCAGGTTTTAACAGGCTCTATGTAACCCTATGTTCCTTCATTTCCTCCTCTTTCATATCTGAATTGCCAGACTACCAGAGGGTCAGGTTACCCAAATTTGCAGATTTAGGGAGATTTCACACACCTAAGGCTGCAGTTTCCTCACTTATGCATTTCCCTTTATCCAAACCTTTAAAATCTTTCATCAGAGTAAAAATAATTAAAGTGGAATTCCAGTCACAATCTAACTAAGGCTAAACTTACTCTCACCCCCTTTCTAAGCCTATTCTATCTAACCCTGTAAAGAGAAGATCCCTATATTTATTCTGAAGCCCCTCTGGTCTCCAGCAGCTGCTTCTGTGTGTGGAAATGCCTGGGAGATGATGTCACCCATAGACTTACTGTGGGGCATCCCCACTCTACACAGAAGCCGCCACAGACAGCTGATCCTTGAACCGGACCAGAGCAGCTTCAGAATAGGTTATCATTTGGCACTTCTTGGGGTTGGGTGGGTACCTGATTTTTGATAGGTACCTGCTCCCACTTCCAGTTGGATCACCTTGACCCCCCTCCCCCGTTCCCCTGCAGCCTTCTCAGTCACATCACTTGTCCCAGAAGACCACAGGACCATTCAAAAAGCACAGCGCAACTTGAGCAGCCAGCGCCTGGACCCAAAGCCAATTGAAGAATCTGCTCAAGGATAGCGTTAGATCCCTGGACAGGTAAGTGTCTTTATATTTAAAAGTCAGCAGCTACAGTATTTGTGGATGCTGACTTTTAATTTTTTGGGGTGAGACTGGAGGTTGTAAACCTCAGAAATGAAAAATGAACAGAGCATATCCCTCTACAGTGTGAATTTGCCTCAATCCAAAGCACTGAGTGTGTTTTTTCTGTCTCCTCTCTCTTCCATCTGCTATGTGCATTAGTCACTTCTGACACCACAGAATCTCAATAGATGGCTCTGCTCCCCCCTCCAGTGCACAGAAGGTTTTTGACATCCTCAGCTGTGCATGTTTCCCAATGAGACTATGTAGAAGGGGGTGTCCGTTCCCTCCAGCTACCTCAGATTACACTCCGCTCCCCACTATATGTTGTGCAGAGTTGACACCTACCCCCTGCCTGTTGGAGCTGAAAATTATTATTATTATTATTATACAGGACTTATATAGCACCGACAGTTTGCTCAGCGCTTTACATTATGGAGGGAGACAGTACAGTAACAATACAGTTCAATACAAGAGGGATTAGAGGGCCCTGCTCCTTGGAGCTTACAATCTAGGAGGGAGAGGATAGTGGTACAAGAGGTAATTAGCTGTGGGGGATGGAGTGGTTGGGGGAGTAGGGGATTCCAGTAGTTAGCCGGGGTCGGGGTAGGCTTCCCTGAAGAGATGAGTTTTCAGAGTGTGCCTAAAAGTGAGCAGAGTAGGCGATAGCCTAATAGCTTGGGGTAGGGAGTTCCAGAGGATGGGTGAAGCCCGTGAGAAATCCTGGAGATGAGCTTGGGAGGAGGAGGAGACAAGGGAGCTAGAGAGTAGGAGGAATTGCGAGGAGTGGAGAGTATGGTATTTCATTTGGGTGCAGCGTTGCATGACCGCGCAATTGTCAGTTAAAGTAATGCAGTGACATATTGGAAAAAAATGACCTGGTCAGGAAAGGGGGGTAAATCCTCTGGAGGGCAAGTGGTTAACCAAGTAAAAAAATTGGTTTTTTTTTGTTTTTTTTTTCATTTTTGTTTATGTAATATAAAATAAAAAGCCCAGTATTGATCAAATACCACCAAAAAAAGCTCTACTTGTATGAAAAAAATTATATAGCTTTCAGTTGGGTACATGTTACACAACTGCGCAATTGTCAGTTAAAGTAACTCAGTGGCAAATAGCAAATAATGACCTAGTTAGGAAGGGGGTTAACTCTTCCGGAGGGCAAGTGGTGTACTGGTAGTATTGAATAGAAGGTATCATCCCTAATTACTTTGTTACCTCATCCCTTACAGTATATCACTGCAACTCCCGGAAAACACATTAAGTGGGGATGTGCTTAAGGTCAAGATTTTTAGAGGTCCAGTGGGTGGGAAAAGTAAAGGATAGCTTAGGTAACAGATGGTGCCTTCTCTTTAGCACTTCCTTTTCTTCACTTCCCTCCTGTTACACCTGTATTTAGGGTGTAACATGCACCTGTCCACATCTCCTCTCCCCGATCCCTTATTGTGACAGGTGGGGGATCCTCTCCCAACACCCGCTTTTAGTTTGAAAGAAGTGTTGCTGTCCAGGGCTGCACCCAAACAGCTATGTCATTTATTCTCAGAGATCTTTGAATGAACTACAAGTACCACCTGCCACCGCGGCAGATGCATTGTAGTCCTCAATGAACTGTGAGGGTGATGGTGAGCGCTCTCATAGTTCATTGATTCTCCCTGGATCTCAGTAACTGTTTGCCCATATGGGAGGTAGGGGCAGATAGTTGACTGAGAGTCTACAGGATCCTGGCATTGCATCTAGAATCTGCTGATCGTGGGTGCCAAGCTTTACAGGCTGCAGTGCAAAAAGATAATAAATGCACATTGTTTTACCTGCAAAATGAAGTGCATTTAATATTCTTTAAAGGGTGAACTTAGCCTTTAACCCTTTCGCTGCCACACATCCACGCTCCTCCCCTTCTTTCTGTGATCCAGAAAGTGATGTGTATGACGTCACATCCGGGTCACCCCTGTCCCTTTCACAGCTAGCACAGCCAAAAAGCATTGGAATGCAATCTGCATTGCAATACATTTAGTGGAGCCCAGAGTGTTACATAGTTAGACTGGCTGAAAAAAGACAAAAGTCCATCCAGTTCAACCATTAAAAAAAAAAAAGTTATAATCCTATACACAAAGTTGATCCAGAGAAAGGCAAAAAAAAACAGCAAAGCATGATCCAATTTGCTCCTGCAGGGAAAAAAGTTCCTTCCTGATCCCCCGAGAGGCATCAGATATTCCCTGGATCAACTTTACCTATAAATGTTAGTATCCAGTTATATTCTGTATATCTGGGAAAGAATCCAGGACTTTTTTAAAGCAATCCACTGAGCTGGCCAGAACCAACTCTTGAGGGAGTCTATTCTACACTATCACAGCTCTTACTGTGAAGAAACCTTTCTGTGTTTGGAGATTACATTTTTCCTCCAGATGTAAAGAGTGCCCCCTTGTCCTTGGTGATGAATATCTCTACACAGAGTTCACTATATGAACCACTGATGTATTTATACATGTTGATCATATCCCTCCTTAATCTCCTCTTCTCAAGAGAGAATAAATTGAGTTCCTCTAATCTTTCCTCATAGCTGAGCTCCTCCATGCCTCTTATCAGTTTGGTTGCCCTTCTCTGCACTTTCTCCATTTCCCCAATGTTCTTTTTGTGAATTGGTGCCCAAAACTGAACTGCATATTCCAGATGAGGTATTACTAATGATTTGTACAGGGTAATATGATATCTCTCTCTGGAGTCTATACCTCTTTTAATACAAGAGAGGATTTTGCTTGCTTTAGAAGCCGCAGCTTGGCATTGCATGCCATTATTAAGCTTGTGATCTACCAGAACTCCCAGATCATTCCCCCAGTTGTACCCCCCTAGTATGTATGATGCATGCATATTCTTAGCCCCCAAGTGCAGAACCTTACATTTATCAACATTAAACCTCATTTGCCACATAGTTGCCCAATTACACAGTGCATTGAGGTCGGCTTATACATTGAAGAAATCCTGTAAGGACGTTATTCCACTGCACAGCTTGGTGTCATCTGCAAAGATTGAAATTGTATTTTCAATCCCAGACCCTATATAGTTTATAAATATATTAAAAAGTAAGGGTCCCAAAACTGAACCTTGGGGTACACCACTGACAACCCTAGACCATTCAGAGTATGAATCATTAACCACTACTCTTTGAATATGATCTTTTAGCCAATTTTCTATCCATTTACATACAGATTTTTCCAAGCCCATAGACTTGACTTTACACATTAGCCGTGTGTGGGGAACTGTGTCAATCGCTTTTGCAAAATCCAAGTATACCACGTCCACCGCCACCCCTCTGTCCAAGGTTTTGCTCACCTCCTCATAAAAAGAAATCAGATTTGTTTGACAACTTCTGTCTTTCATAAATCCATGCTGTCTGTTGCTTAAAATATTTTTTTCCAGCAAGAACTCATCTATTTGGTCTTTTATTAAACTCTCCAGTATCTTCCCAACTATAGAAGTTAAACTAACAGGTCTATAATTACTTGATAAAGATTTTGACCCCTTTTTAAATATTGGCACCTCATTGGCCTAACGCCAATCCAGTGGTACTATGCCAGTCATTAGAGTCCCTAAAAATTAGAAACAATGTCTTTGAAATGACAGTGCTCAATTCTTTAAGGCCCCGTGGGTGTATGCCATCTGGTCCAGGTGCTTTATTCACCTTTATTCTGTCTAAATATTTTTGGATCATATCAATTGTGAGCCAATGTGGATCATCTGGAGCTGTGTCAATACCTTGCCCATTATGAACAAGGGCTCCCCCATGCTCCTTTGTATACACAGAGCTGAAGAAGGTATTTAATAAATTTGCCTTCTCTTTGTCCCATGCGGTGGAATGAGAGCAATAATTATAACACCAGACCTCCTCTGTAACACTAAACTGATGACCTATAGCGGGCTTTTGAAGTGTCATCTATAAAAAATATAGGCTGCTGAATCTTGTCGCCGTTTCACAGGCGCACACAAATTTAAGGTTTGACATTTGGGGTATCTACTTACTCGATGCAAGCTCATTTTTTATATTTTACCAAAAATTTGGGTAATTTACTGTGTTTGATTGCCCTAAAATTCACGTTAGTGGTTTTTACTGAAATTTTGCGTTTCCTAGACCTTTGCA